TTTCCTTGAAAAAATTCCAGAAAGGATTAAGCATGATTTAATTGGCAATAATAAATGAAGGCGTTATCTTTGTTGTTGCGAAGCTAAGTTTCTCTAGATTGGCAACAAGTCCACTAGTCTGCTGTTTCAAATGTAAACAATCAATGGCCGCCATCAAAAAAAGGCTTAGCGGCACTTAAACAACTTTAAAATTGTTGATAATTCTAAAAATATTGCATACAGATTTACTAAAGGCATAAAAACCTTAACCGGAATATAAAAACAACATAATTCAATCATTTTTAAAGCAAAAAATGTACAATTTACAAACATATAAGAGTAAAGAAACTGAGATCACTGAGCCGGGTAACAGAGTGGATATAGTATATATAAATATATTTATATACGTTTGGTGCGGCCGATTGCAACCAAAATACGAGGTGCACATCTACATGTTATAGCAGACCTATATACAAAATTTTCAACGTTCTGAGGCTACTCGTTTTGAGTTATGCGAGATACGTACGCACGTACGTACATACGTTCGTACAGACGCCACGAAAAATTCTCTTCAGAATTAATTTTAAAGCAGTTTTATATTTTTTTTGGAGGAAACGAGTCTTTCATTCCGTTCTTGCGTACAAATATCACGCAAAAACATCGTTAAATTGCATTCGATAGCGGTCAAAATGGATATTTTCGTTGAAATATGCTGCCTGAAACTTTTCGCGATTACAATACTTCCTTTTTACTTCGTACAAGGAAATAAATAAATAAATAAATAAATAAATAAATAAAAAAAAGAGGGGGGGGGGGGAACCTCCAATAATAGGTACTGTATTTAAGATTTCGAAGATCCTTTAACCGCCCCTCCCTGAAGTACAAAGGACAATTTTTTGATTCCGATTCCAATATTTTTTTGTACTTACCAATAACAACATTCATCTTTGAAGGGAATTCGTTTCCTAGAAATCTAAGAAATTCGAAGAGATGATAATAAATTTTAAAATGGCGCAGTAATGCATAAATTTTCAGTAGCCAATCAGGGAGCTGATTACAGCTCGTTAGTGCACAAATATTCTATAACCAATCAGATAGCTGATTACATCACGCCTAGAATTAAAATTATTTAAATAATCATACATAATAAAATCATTTTTCAAAAACAATGCAAAATTAAACTGTACTGTAATATTTAACAGCGATAAATAATGTTTAAAACATTAGATTAAATGGTACTATTCTGTTTTGAGGGCTGTAAAAAAATTGCAGCGAAAATGTATGCGCAAAAGCGTCATTTAACAGCGCGCCTAATCTAGCGTACGCGCTGATTTCAGATTGCGTAAGTTTATATAGTTCTATATTTCTTAAGACGCCATTGAAATACTAGTTTAATTTTTAAATACTTTTTTGATTTTAAATCCGTTTTTGATTTTACAACATGATTTATATTACATGGATTACAACATGGATATTACATTACACGGATTTAACAATTGCCCATGACGAAAACGTCGGCAAATAGAATTTTGGGTAAAGTGCAGAATCATCCACTGCTTGACGCGTTTCTAAGAACTGCACATACTCGGTATCCATGTGCACATCGACCTATTTTCACTTAAAAAAAATCCTAGAATTGCACAAAAATGGCACTGCGCACACCCTTGACTTTATCTATGTACACATCGACCTATTATCACTTAAAAAGTAAAAGAAAATTGACAAAAATCCAATTGTTTTTACCCTTGTAAAAAGCGGCGAACAAATAAGTGAGCGATTCTGCACTTTACCGGGAATATTTTCAAAGGAAAGGCATCATTCATTACAGAAAATTACGTTTGAACAACCAACGAGATGAAATTATGCTTTAGCGATAAGTCGGTAGCGATATAGCAATGCAGGCATCCATTCAGTTATGTTTAGCAATTTTTATATAAATTATAATAATCTGAAATAGTTATTTACTCTTATGCTTCCATTCAGTCATGTTTAGCCTTTTTCATATAAATTATAATAAAAAAGTATTATATGAAATTAACCTTTCATCTAAATTAAAACATCAATCTTAGATAGTTATTTACTATTATACTTCCTCTCTTGCCTCAATTATTAGGGTTGCCGCAATTATTTTTGGCAGCATTGGCATCAACAATAGTTTGGCGATTTTTTACGGCCCTCGAAACCGAATAGTACCGATTAAATTTATGGCTATTAAAACTAATTACTTTTAAAGTAAGGTGACGTCATTGATTACATCTTCCACAATATAAAATTTCATAAAATATCATAAACAATAAAATTTTTATTTCAAATAAAAATGCAAAATTAAATTGATTTTTAATATTTAGAAGCCATCAATAATTTAAAACACGAAATTTATGCATAATAAAACACATTATTTTTTAAATAAAATGACAACAAAGTATCAGTTACCATAAATAACTTATCCAGCAGTGGGTTTACCATAAGTCGTAATACTCCCCAAAAGAAAAATCGCCGAAATCCGTGCAACCATCTACCAAAGTAGCACCTTAATTTTACCACATCACGCTCTGCAAAACTTCCCCAAAAAGATCCAGAATCTTTACTTAATAGCGTTTTTATCTTTGATTAAAGCTCAAGATAATTATCTCATAATCCTCTGCCGCCTCAAAACCGGCTTCGTATTCAGCAACAGCCTCAATATTTTCTAAAAGTAATGCCAAAATGTTATTCTGAATCTCATCTAAACGCAAAAGTTTATCTTGTAACTGAGCGTTCAACGCGCCTAGCTTATCGTCGTCCTTGGCATCTACTTTCGTCACCAAATATTGCTTCAACTTATTCACCGTAGACGTAAATGAAGCTCTTAACGACTTTCGTTTATTTTCAGAGCATCCATATTTATATGTACACTTAAAATAGTTACTTAAAATGATTCGCAATAAATTCTTAATTTTTGTTTATACTCATGAAATTTTAGTGATTATACTTTCTTACACTTAAATCACTTTATCATCGTAAACAGCATAACGTGTACTTATAAGCAGTAATTTAAGTCATTCGTACCTGTACACTTTTATAATTTCAAATTCTGAATTCTTCAAATGCATAATACAAACTCTGTCTTGTCTTCGGACGCCACTTTATTATGACTGAAGATCTTTCAATATAAACTAATTTTGTTAGCATCATGTAGGTGGAAATATAAACAAAGTAAACATGAACAGAATTCCAATCTCTCTCTCTTTTTCCGTTGCCAAGTCCGCCAACTCAATAACAAGTTAATTAATTAGAAAAGGTAACAGGAAGTGAGAAATACAAGATGAGTGGCTACACCATGTATAAATCCTCAACATGTGTCATGGCTTCTGGACGGTGTTAAATAGGCTTTCCAGTGATGGTATACATATTTTGGGATTGGTGGCATAACTCGGATATCACTATTCGAGGCACTCATAAACATCGGAAGACCTTAGCTAGACAGTGGACAGCCTCAGGCCGACTAATGGCTTTTTGTCTTAAACCAGGGCTAGTCTAAACCACGACTTCTTAAGCTTTTTTCAATCACAACCACATTTTATCAGTAAGATTTTTTTCGTGAACTCAGATATTAAATATAAAATAAAGATATAAAAATTAATATCCTCCCATAAATAATTTATTTCTTTAGTAAAAAATATGCATATAAAAAGAAGCACTTTAGTATTTATTTTAAGCACATAAAAATTAAAGAAAATTGTAATGAGACAGATGAGCTCGTTTTCTGCTGCATAACAAATTAAATTTTGTTGCGATATTTGACACAGCTGGAGATAAAGCATCTTAACATGTTTTAACATAGAATGATATTTGGTTTTAATTAGCATTAAAGCTGAAAAAGTAGTTTTATAAAAACATGTGAAGCTGAGAAAAGAACATTTAATGCCATTTCAAAAATAATGAGAAATCTAATTCCAACTTACTTTTGTGAAAATTCAAGTTTTAGGTTTGAATCGCTAGATAACTTTACAAATTCCTTTTGCACTTCATATAACAGGTAACTAAATGTACTGTCTCTATCAATCTAATGTCAATTAATGTAATTTCTTTAAAAGTCTTGTGAATGCAGTTTCTTCAGTGGCTTAGCTAGGGTGGGGCAAGGGGGGACATCTGTCCCTGAGTGCAGCATCAAAGGGACGCCAAATTGATGCTACGAAATTTTCTAATGAAATGTTTTCCATTCTTAGCACACAAAAAGGGGCATAAATTCTTCAATTGTCCCCGAGCGCTGGAAACCCTAGCTACGCCCCTGAGTTTCTTTAAATTCAACTATCGAATTAAATTTTTGTGATCTTAAAATTTTGATTTGCGACTACATTTGGGGGTCACGACCCTAGTTCAAAAAACACTGGTCTAAACCATTGCAAGAATTCATTTTAACAGAAATCAGTCAGTCTTGTAATTTTGCTCACACAAAACACAACTGTATAAATGAATATCAGAGACCTGGAAACTAAACATCATATTTTCTTAGAAACAGTATTTTTTAAACTTTTTAACAACCACTAGATGCTAATATTATATTTACTGCTCCCCAAATTACATACGAAATCCTCTTTTAAAACTTTAACTAAACTATTTTTGAATTATTGAAAAAAATATGTTTGTAACTTTAATTTGGACAACAGTTTAACAGAAAAAAATCAGATTCCCACATTTGCTTTGTATTCTTACAGTTATTTTATTGCCAATCTACAAATGTATCTTTCCAACAACACAGAAATCGTTTTAAGTTTAAATTACTTTACGGATCTCTTTTAAAGTATACCAAAGTTACAAAAAACAAATTTCCTATTTCATGAAAAATGAGCGGAAGACAACAGCAAAAATTTTAAAAACAAAAATTATTACACACATAACTTTTGGTTTACATTTCGATCAAGTATTACTCTAGAAAGAATTACTCTTTTTATATTGTTATGCTTTACAAAATATGTAAGCGATACTTAATTTCACTTAATCTTCTATATACTCAATGTTATACTTTTTTAATTTTATAGAAATACGATGCAGACTTCAAGAAATGTGTATTACAGAGGCATGAAGTAGCAAAAAGTTACTTTTCCACCATACCAAGATTCTTGCCTTATATATCAAAATCATTTCTGAAGAATGCTTAGATATAGGACAATTGTAGCAAATTAAAATAAAAAAACTGCCAGTATTCATATAATGGAGTATCTATTTACAATATGTGTACACAATTTATTTCTAGAAAATGTTACATGGCTTTTCTGAAAGCATACTTCTTCTGTACATTTTGAACTTTATTTGCATGCTTTTTCTGATTTGTTCTTTTCCTCTGCCTAAATATTTCCTGCAAATAAATTCATATATACCATACATTTACTTAATTAATAGATAAATGCAAGTAAATATGTTTTATTTCCCTTTATATATTCTTTACGTCTTTAAACTAAAATTTAAATAAAGATAATAATTAGAAAGCACTTAAACATGTAAGGTCTGTCAAGAGATTCTTTTTCTTCAGAATGGAAATGCATATGCCTTTTTTATTAAGTACCAATAACTGAGGGGTTCCCCCCACAAGAGGCCATTACTTAGATCTTAACAATTCAGTGAAAGTTCTTTTATGAAGATTTTATTCCAAAAGATTAACAAGATTGTTTACTGAACTTATTAAACTTTTAAGAAATTCAGCATGGAAGTCTACATATACTGCATTTTTAAAACACAAAATTTTTGTATCTCTTGCAAAAAATATTTATCTGAACAAAAGTACATAGAATGAAGGATTAAATTACTACATTAAAAAAATAAAAGTTAAAATAATAAACCTGTAAAATTAACCATAAGACTATTTATAGAATTGTAGCAGTTTAACCGTAACCGAACTTTTGACCTATTATTTACTTTTAACTGCACTATTTAATGTAGTAACTGTACTTTTAACCTATGAAGAAACTGTAAGTATGTAACTGTATATCAGCATGTAGAATAGTTTGGCATCGTGCGCAGATCCATGCTCCTTGTAACTTGTTTATGTTAACTATAAAGTTCTTAATGCTATGAAAAAAGATGACTAGTGATTTGATTTTCTTAAGTAAATTAGTCTCTATAATAAATTAGTTTTAAGTAGTATAATTATGTCTGCAGAAACCAATTGCCTAGTACACTACAATGGTGCAAAGTGAAAAATTGAGCAGGCATCCTTCATTATAGGCATCCTTGTACATCCACAGGACATACGGTCAATTTCTTAATTACAAAGGTAAAATTGCCAACAGTGATCAGACAAGAAATAAAAAAAAAAAAAAAAAAAAAAAAAAAAAAAAAAAAAAAAAAAAAAAAAACCCACAGATATTTTTAAATATTTTTGTAATTTTGATGGCTGCTCAGCATATATATGCATAAGGCTATGTGTGTGACATAGTGTTTTAAAGGCATGTGTACATGAAATTAGCTTGGATTCTACAATGATGTCACATGTCTGAGTTTGTTTTCTCACTTGTTATGGTCGGCAATCAAATGTTTTAATTTCCATGTATCATTTCTGCATTTTTACTTAAGTGTACTTTTAATTAACTGTTTCAAACCTAATACATAACAACTCATTTGCATTTTATTTTGATATTTACTTTTATTGCATTATCTGTATTTCTCTTATATATATATATTATATATATTTCATCATGCAGCTCACCATGATATTATTGTTAATCCTCCTGATAATAAGCGGTATGAAACCTTAAAAAAAGTTTTATCAAATCTCACTCAGAGCATGAATAATAATGTATATGTGCTTTGTTTCAAGGCATGGCGACTCACTTCAATACCATTTACTTACATAATCTCATGGGTGATACTGTAGGGGAAGCATTCCTCAAAGCTCTCTGGCTTGTGCATCTTTCTACTACCATACATAGCACTGTAGGGGCACTGAGTGACACACTGTCACAGATGGCTGTTGTTACAGACCAAATCATAATCTGGCCATGTTCCTCAAATTAATGCAACATGCAGTTCACAAAATTCACCACTGGAAGCAGAAATTGCTTAGCGCAGCAGGAGAGTGAACTTGCTGCTATTGTAAATCACTGTAACCTTTTAAGAGACACAATTTATAAATTATAAAGGGCACAATCAGCCATTCCCAGTGAATGCTATAAAGAGTCAGCAAAGAGCCAATGTTTTTATCATACGAATTTTGGCTCTAATTTAAAAAAATGTACACTCTCATGCTCTTTCCAACACCAGGGAAACTAATTTGGTGATTGAATTTGGGCCATGGTGGCAATCACTGTGTGAATCTGTTCTTTTGGCCCAGCCTTCCTTTAAACTGAAATTTTTAATTGAAACTGGAGCAGAAATTTCTGTCCTTCCAGTTATTCACACCAAACAGCCTGTTGTGAATAGTAAAGTGGCTCTTTATGCCACTTATGAAACAAAAATACCAACCTTTAATCTAGTAATCAACATCTGACTCTAGACTTCAAATTATGGCAAATCTTCACTAAGTCTTTCATAACTGCCAAAGTTAAGCAACTTATCATAAGCACTGATTTTCTAAAGAAATTAAATTTATTAGTTAATGTTAAAAATAATTATATGATTGATGCCGAGACCATGCTTTCATCACAGGGATAGGCTGCTCATTTCCTGCAAGGTAGCAATACTGTAAGCATTCTTCTAAGCCACTGATTTTCAAAATGAGGGTGTGCTCATACCTAAAGGGGAATGTGGGCAAAGAAAGTGGTACTTACCCCTACCCGCGTATACCACACCACCTACGTCACCTCGATATGCTGTGCATGAGTTTTAGTTGGGCCTCAATTACATGTATATGCATGTTAGTGCTTACATGTACTCTTGATGTGAAAATAAACTATTGAATTTTTTTGGTCATGATTTTAGCAAAAAAAAGGCAACTACAATGATGATTGTATTAAATGTGGTTTTTTTGCTATACGCAAAAAAAAAAAAAAAAAGTGTCAACCAGCTGCAATATGTTATTTGTTACTATGCCATGAGATCTGGTCTGGGGCGACATTTGGCAACAAAACACAGCATAATAAAAGGCAAGTTAAAAGAGTCCCCCCCTGCAAAATGAGTAAGTTTGAAATATATGAAATTGGATAATACTGGATCCTTTGCTCAATTATCTGAAAAGCTCTCGAAGCTTTGCGTGAGTTATCACTACTCATCACAAAGGCCAAGAAAAGTCATATTATTGAAGAAACACTTATCAAACCCTGTCTATGGAAAGCAGCTGATATTATTCTTAAACTAAAAATAAACAAAAACTTTCCCAAATACAGCTTTCTGAGAACACTGTGAAAACATCACATAGATGACATGGCCAAAGACATAAAACATTGGTTAGTGTAGGTTGTGAAAGAACCAAACTTATTAGCAATACAGATGGACAAAAGTCCTGATGTTGCAAAATGTTAACTCTTATTTTTCATTTGCTACATACAAAATAAAACAATTAAAGATGGAATGCTGTTTTCAACAGAGTTAATGACTACTTAGCAATTCATATAATGATAGCAATTTCTGAATTCTTTTGCAACTATAAACTATCATGGCAAAATCTAATAGGCATGTGCACAAACAGTGCTCCATCAATGCTTGAATCTCGCGAGAAAAAATCCCAGTGTTACTGCTATTCACTGTGCTATACACCATTAAGCCTCAGTAGTTAAGACACTTCGAAATGAACTCAACATTGTTTAAAAAAAATTATGCATCAAAATTATCAACTATGTTAAAAAGAATGGGTAAATACTTGACTTTTTACTTTTTTAACATTCTTTTGTGAAAATTTGAGAACAGAACATTATTTAATTTAGAAAAACATTGGCTCTCAAAAGAAAATATGCTAGCAAGATTATTGGAACTTTGAGGTGAAGTGATTCAGTTTATGGAAATTCAAAACCAAACTGAATTGTATGTGAGAATTCTGAAAATCAAATGCTTAAATAAAATTGGCTTATCTATCAGATATGTTCGATTCGTTGAATTCATCAAACTTGAAATTACAAGATTGAGATTCGACCATAATTTGGGATGCCATCACAACATAGACTGATAAGATGCAACTTTTGGAACATAAAATTTTAGCTTGAAATTATTCCTGCTTTCCCAAATTATTTGGAATCCTGAAAGAATGCTTTAAGAAGATTTTTAAGAATACCGATACTACAGACCAGTTTACACTTCACCAAGTGAATTTCGTCGAACCCCTCGTCCGAGCGTCTCGAACCAAGTGAACGGACCTGTAATCTGACAGATTGTTTACACCAAACAGAGCCGGACTGACACATTACCTCCGTTTGTTTGCAAAATGGATAATGATGTGCAAGTTGCTGTGCTTGAAGTTTGCAAAGCAGTTTCCAGCAAGTTAATTTCTGTTCTTGGGGGGGGGGGGGAAATCTGAAAACTTTCAGATTTTCAGGTTTTTTTTAACATTTTAGTTGTTACCTGTATTTATTTAAATATCATGTTCTTCACACTTAAACCATAAAATTCAGTTCAATATTAGAATGCAAAATAATTTTTAAATGAGCATATCTTTAGAATTTCCAACACACAGTATCTTTAGAATTTCCAATACACAGTCTCACACGCTGGAGATTAAAATGTTGTTTTATTTTCCCATACTGTGTTGCCATTACTCACTTTGAAATCGTTGTGTCTGTTAATCAAAAATTCATTAAAGTTTCACGAAATATGAAATAGATATTAAAACCAATTCCAATTTGGGCTTCCAGATGCCCATATTTAGGTGAAAATGTATGTTATTCAAAATTTGATGGCTCTAGGTACTGTGATAAGGTTGCATAAAGGAATTAATATGGACAAGGATGTCTTGAGAGCATAAGATGAATATTATTATTATTTAACTTCTAAATACATTTTCAATAGTTGTTAAGTTGAATTAATTGTTTTAAAAATAATTTTAATATGTTGGCATTGTTTCAAAAGCAGGCTCAAGAGCCACATATTGCTCTTGCACATAAAATGGACAGATATTTGAATTTGTTTTGAAAAAAGGGAAGAAACAGGTTTTTCTCTTATTGATTGTATGTAGCCTTTTTTTTTTTTGAGGGGGGCGTTCAATAAAATTTTCATGTGGTGTTCCATCATTAGAGTTTTCATTGGAGTTCAACACCACACTGTTGGAGCATTAACCCCACACCACAGTATCGTTGCTTTATTACAATGCGAGAAACACGCATACATTTAATGCAAATCTACCTTTATTTAATCTACCTTTATTAAAATCTGCCTTTATTTAATACCAAATTTAAATGAAAAGGCTAATTTTTTACTGTTCCAAGTTATCATGCACATCTAGTATCAGTCATTATAAATAGTACAAAGTCACTCTAAATATATATAATTGACTTTCTTACCAAAACTTCTTCTCTGTTCAGTTTCCATTCTTCTTTAATCACATCTAATGGTTTATGACACATGAAAAAATCTACACCTTCTATTAAAAAGAATAATTTATTAAAACTAGTTTTTCATGTTGAATGCATAACATTCAAACAAAGCACACATTTTGCTACACACCTTTTAAACGAGGATCTCCTTCTGATACAAAAAATCTCTCCTTCTTTAAAACTTTACTTTCAAATATTATCGGCCTGAAAGTACACATTGATTACTGGCTAAATAGAAAATTAACATATTAAACTTTATAAAGTAACTGATATGAAACATAATCTTGAAAAAAAAATTAATTTTAGTTTTTGTTATTCCTAAACATTCTAATTAATTTTTATAAATTTTATATTTTCTGAATTAATACACAAAACATAGCAAAGCATTAAAATAAAATACTCATTGAGGTCTTATTGTGAAGTTATGTTGATATTTATGGATCGTACATAATAATAATGACAGGCATTTGACTATGAACTATGTATCACTATCAAAAGCACAAATTATAAGATTATTTCTAAAATAGGTGAATCTCAGTATAAATAAAAATGTTTGACATTTAGAATAACAATGCGATATACATAAGCAAAAGTGAAAGTTTTGAACTGGCTCCTTGAGTATCTATCTGGTTAAAATAGCAAAGCAGAAGCATATTTCTTACAAAATAAGACTCGTTTGCAAAAATATGTCTAGTAGAGCTCCTCACAGGCACTGTAACTTTGTATTGCTAAAAACCAAATAATAATAATAATCAACTTTAGACTGATGTAGAATTTGATTAAAACTTAAAATTCAATTTATTCATAATAATGAATAACCTCATTGCCTTTTTTCCTCTTCCAATTTAACATGTGTATTGGTTCGTATAACTTTTTGTTAAAACTATAAAGCATTATTAAAATATGCTTTCTGTATAAAAAAATTTTCATTACTTTGTATTAAATGTATTTTTATGGTAATTTGTAATGGGTTGAGAGGGCAAGTGCATAAAATTTAGTTTTCGCTCCATCTTAATGTCATGCTTACCACTTACAGGTAAATGACTAATATGGTTATTAAGTGTAGAAGACTTTTTTAGGAAAGAGTTTGGCACATAACCACTGCTATTCCAAAATCCACTATATGTTAAAAATACCAATACCATCCATATATGCTAAAAGTGACCTTGTAATAGAGTGTTTATTATAAAATGTTAAACGTATAATATAATTAGTATTAGTAATAATTCTCAAATAGGCAAATTTCACAGTTGCTTGTTGATTTTTACAAGTAACTTAATTGCTCAATTCTGTACCAATTATTCAACTATAAATTATTTATATGATGTCCATGGTCTAATCTCATTATTTGCTATTAATTTTAATGCTGAAAATTTCTAATGATTTCCACAGCATTTATATCACAATCACACCTGTCTATGCAATCACATATACTGTATTGTCTAATGGCCTATTAAAAAACTAATGTTATTTATCAAATTCAGTGCAGTTAAAAGGTTATTAAAAAATTCACTTGATGAATGTTTCTTTTTATTGCCCTTGGTAACATGGCATTTCTAGATCTAATATTTTTCCCAATAAACAGCATAACAATTACACACTTGAAGTACGGTTAGATGAAAAGCATAATAAACTGACTAATAAATTTTCAGTTTTCACCCAGAAATTTGGTACATAGGTGCATCTAGACAAGAGCCAGTGCGCCTTGAAGCGATTTTTTCGAAATTCAAATTCGATTTTTTTTTATTTTATGTTTTGTGACGAAATCGTGTCATTTTGAGACATAATGGGCTATAGGAAAGCGAGATTTTACTCTACACACTTAATTTTCACATCGTCATGAAATGTAGGCACTTAGCTATTTTACGAACTTAAAATAAATTTCATGTTTCAATAAATCAATTAAATATGAATTTATTTAACAAAGGGAGCTTAACACCTTTTTAACGGGATATTTTCTAAAAAAGTTTATTTTTAAAAATGTACAGTTTATTTTTCTTTGATTTTTGGACACGTTAAACTTTTATCCTTGCGACTGCTTTTACAAAAAGAATTTTAGAAAAATGATAATATTTTGTATCTTTAAAAAAGTTTTTAAATGAAGCTTCTGAGTACACTTCTCACATCTCACATCTTTAAAAATGCGGTTTTGGTAAAAATTTTCCTGTCTTATTGTTGTTGATAGATTTTTGATGAAATCATATAATTTTGAATAGTTTCATTCTTTTAGAAATATGGGTTTGGCAACAATTTTTCATTATATTTCTTATGTTACTGTTTTTAAGAGATTGGCATATTTAATTATCATTTTTTTATATATATAATACATTTTTATTGATAAAGTTGTTCTGTAGAGTAAAATTCTGTGCGGAATTTTATGTTTTTTGAGTTACTTTCATGTTATTTTTGGCTTATTTCACTGTTTGTAAGATATTGAAAAGTTTTGCATGATTTTTTTTTTTTTTTTCTTCAATGGAAAGTTGGTTAATTTTTTATTAGGATAATTAAAATTTGTATTAAAGGATATAGCTTATTTCATTGTAATGTTTTTCTCTTGGAAAATATAAGATAAAATATCATTAATTATACTTTGCTTTTCAGAATTTTTTTGCTTTTTGTATTCTTTTATGTTATTTATTGCTCATTTCACTGTTTTTAAGATACTGAAAAGATTTGAGTGATTTTTTTAGGAAACAAAGTTCTTAACTTCCATTATACAATTTGCAAAGGGAAGTTGGTTAATTTATTTATTAGAATAATTAATATTTGTATTAAGGGATATTGCTTATTTCATTGTAATTTTGTTATATGTAGTAACTTTTTTTATGAAGTTGTTCTGCAGAGTAAAATTCTACGCAGTTTTTAAATTTAACGTTTGGTGTTTCCTTCAGCAATTTTTCCGGTACATTTAAAAGCCAGACGAAGGCTGGCAGCAAAGCTGCTAGTTTACAATATAATACAATTACATTACAATAATTGTTTTACATTAACAATTACATTACAATAATTGTCTAATGGTGAAAGTGTAGTAACCTAAAATAGGTATTAATAATAGATATTGTTGCGTGCGTACGGGTTCGTTATGAATGAATGCACAAGTCCGATGAAAAATGAACAAAAATTTATTATTACCACAACAAAAATGCTTAAATATTCTCAAATTATCATGCAGTATTACAATATCTCACAGTAGTTATCTATTAACTACTCAAATGTCCAATAGAACGTAATTCAAAACAGCTAAAGAATGCTAATCCGCGAATTCGCTATAATCGACAAGAGCAGTTTTCTAAACAACAACAAACTAAGCAACTCCAACAAACTGAGATGTTTTCCTCCTTTTATAAGATTTTAAAATCACGCGCTAGAATTTTCCAGTACTTTCTCGAAATCAAAAAGAGATATTTATTTATTTAATGCACGCGCTCTTGTATTTTCAATTTTCCAGCTTAGCTTTCTTTTAATATTCGTCACGCGCTGCACTGCGCGAGAAATAAAACCATTTAATTTATAATTGAACTAACATTAGCTTTTTAAATACCAAATTTGTAACAATATCTTTCTTAAATTTCTAAATTGAAAATTAATAATAATTTCTTTTTCATGGCTTTCATTTAAAAATCTCTTAATGTTAGCAATGCCACAGTTTTTTAAATCAAGTATGACCAACAGTATTTTGATTATTAAGAATTATTTCATACCGTTTAATGCATTTATTTAAAACAGTGTACGTTAAAAAAATATTATACATATATTTTATTTCTTTTTCAACATTATTATTATTATTTCCTTGTATTAAGTAAAGGCAGTATTGTAACCTCAAAAAACTTTGATTATCATATTTCAATGAAAACATCCATTTTGGCTGATCCCAAATCCGTACCCCGCTTTGTGTCACTTCTGTGCATACAGACAGACTAAATGACTCCTTTATTTTTCCAAAATGTTTTGTAAAATGGATTTAAAATCAATCCAAAAGGGATTTTTTTTCATGACATATGTACACATATAAGTATGCAGATATCTCGCTTAACTCAAATGCTATTAGCCATAGAACATTGAAATTTTTATAGGGGACTGCTATAACATCTAGTTGTGCACCTCCCTTGCGATTAGCAGTACCAAACATTTATTTATATGTGTGTAGATATACATATACCCACCCCGTTATTTGTCCTTTAATTTTCAAATCGTTGGTCATAGTCATATACTTCCAATTACAGAAACATTTTAAGTGACAAAAATACTCATGTTTTGGCAATAGAATACCAAACTTAAAGATACACTAATTTCCGATGAAAAACAAAATCTATCTTTTAATGCGATCTTCTAATTCCTATAATTATATTTGGGAAAGTTTTATACTCTTTTAAGAAAAAATAAAACTTCCTGTACAATAAAAATTGACTTGGATATTTAATTTCAAAATTTGTAATTTTTCATCTCATTTTCAACTTGCCTTGAGGGGTTGGTTATTTAAGTTAGAATAATTCAAGAAATAGATTTAAATGAAGTGCAGCAAAAATATTTGCATAATTTAACAGGCTGTACAATGAAGTCATGTGGTGTCCACATCAATTTTTTTTAATATAATCTTTTTATCATTTATCTTTGTATTATATACAAAGATGAAAACAGTTTTAATTTTCATAAATTTTATGATAATATTACATGAACACTTTCAATACTTATATTTCCTATCAATATAATTTTTCTCTCTATGCAAAAAATGGATATACTGCTAATACATGATAATAATGAACACAAAAAAATAATACTTTCTTGAAAAACAAGTTTCAAACATGAGATGTCATGGAAAGTTTTGCCATTTTATTTTTACCTGAATTGTCACTGTACGCATATTAAAAATCCCATAGAACCACATGTGTAGTATTAGTACCCTGAGCAAGCTAAGGTGCTTCATAACAAGTATCAGGTTCAATGTTTTTTCTAACCTTCTTCGGAAACATACAATGACCTGACTAGGAACAGAGAGCTTACTAAAGCTATGTTCACTAATTGTAGTAAGTAGACAGGATACAGACGAAGGGTATACAAAACCCTTTATTTTTCTTTATATACAATGACTTCCGTACTTCGGAATACAATGACCCTCCACTCGGGGTCTAACGTAAAAGATATCAAAATAAAACTAAACTCTAATTTAACTTTAGAATAATATACGTGGAAGATTGGCCTTATAA